TTCCCTTGGGATAATTTGCTGTTGGTGTAGTGACAGTTTCCTTGAGGTCAGTTGCATAAGTTTTAGTTTTAGATCAGTTGCTGCTGGTGTAGTGTTCAGTTAATGTTGTTGACAATCAGTTACCTGTGATGAAATACTGCTGCTCAGTTTGTGGAAAGATGATAGTAAAAGTGGAAGATGATTATACAAATGTAACAATTCCCAGTTCATTTTGAGGGAAGATGTCAGCAAGAACAAATGTAACAATCTTTCCCAGTTTAGTTTGAGGGAAGATATTAGTAAAGAAGTTAAAAGAGTCTTTTTAAGAGTCTGTTAACTTTGTTAAAACAGTTGTTACTGCTGGTAAATGTTGGTTACCTTTCAGCTCAATACTGAGTTCACTGTAGCTTATAAAAGCCTTATTGTAAACTGTACTCATTAAGTGAAAAATACAGAACAGAAATATATTCAGTATACTCCTCTTTCTCTTCTCTTCATCGTTCTTTTTCCTCTGTTTTTTGCTCTAAACCTAACAGTTAGTATGTTGAGTTTTTGTTCTCTGTCTAGAGTTTATAGCATTATTTGCTGACCGCATAAGATTCTGTGTAGTCATATCCCTGCTTCCTAAAGCTCTCTTCTTTGTGGATGAAGAACTTAGATGGATCTCCAAGTCCAGGTCATTAGCTTTCTCATTAGATTTGCTTGCAGTTGAGGGAGCATTCACTGAGTCACCATTTTGCATTCTCGCTTATTTTCAGAAGTGGGTGGAAATCAATGGCATGACGCTGTATTGGAGGACTCTTTGGTCTTCAAAGATTCATTAAAACAGCCAACATGACTGACTTGGCGGGGATTGTGAAAAAGACTCAGATTAAGTTGAGGCTGATTTGCTGAAAAGAAACTAAATGAACTGGAAGTTAGAGTGCCAGTGTTCAGAGGATAATATGGCAGACGTCCATCTTCAGGGGCCTGGAACAATAAAGGATGCATCTCAGGTTCTGACTCAGCACCTCTTTCGTCTTCAACAACATGAGATTCTTCTAGGTGCATATTTCTGACATTTTCTTTCACTGAATTATTTTTCTCTCTTCCAGTTTTTATTAAATGCGGAGTTCCCAACCTTACAAGATGAGATATTAGAGGAGCTGTACTTTTTTGTTCAGAACAGCCAACACCACTGCCAGTGACAGAAACGTTAGCGGATGATCCACAGAGGACGCTTTTGAAAGCTGACAGCGAGATTATACGAACAGATGGTGGGAGATTAATAGCCAACACCTTGTTGAGTCTACGAGCCCTGTATGGTGGTAAACAGACTTGAGACTTGGTCATTCTGAATGGATGGTTTGCCTGGACCACTGGACCTGTCACGCCCATCCTGGCTAGACAAGGCAAAATGGGTGGGTGGGCCGGGTATGGTCTGGGCCCACTGGGTACAGGCCATCGTAATTGTTGTGATTAAGGAAGAAATAAAATAAAAAATTTATTTTGTGTGGAGCATCGTGAAAGAAGTAATGGGGAGAACATATGACTGGATGATGATAAGAAAGGTGTATTTGGGTTTGACGGATCCACGCATACGAAGACTTTGAATGTCAATGAATTCTAAAGTACTATCAGTGACCCAATCAGCAATTGCTAAAGAAAACAGATTGTTTAAAGGTCTTTGAAGGGATTGGAATTGAAGAGAAAGAGAAGAATCGTATTGAGAGAGTTTGGTTGGTGAAAGTTGAAGGTACAAAGAAAAGAAACGCAGAGTTTCTTCAATATCGTAATTACTCAAAGGGACACCTAAATTATTTCATTTTTTTTATAAAAAATTTCTTGAAGTTTTTTATTAAAATTGATTTTCTTTTTTTAAAGTATGCGGGTACTCGCATGTATACTTGATCCACCCGTTTCAGAAACGGGTTAGGTTGGGTACGGGTCCAATTTTCACGAGTCCTTTAGAGTGGACATGTACCTTATATATATTTGACGAGTACGAGTCTACCTGTGGGTATGGACCCGTTTTGCTAAGTCTACTCCTAGGTAACCCTATCCCATCGGATCCGGGCGATTCAAGAGACTCAGGGTTTCGAGAGGAGGGTGAGTATTCATAAATGTTTCGTAAGATTCCAATTTTTGAAAACAGAATTAATATGGAGATCAATATGAACTACATAGAAATCCAAATCCCGAAATACAACCAAATGAGTTCTAAAAGCAGAAATACATGAAATTAAAGTTCTAAACCAGGGTTTCGAAAAAATCTAGTTACAGAAACATAATATCAGAGTGCACTAAAGTTTGTAAAACATGTTGATGATCATGCGTCAATGCCAACCAAGAGCATAGAGTATGCTCCGCAAGAACCCGGTCTACAATACTGACGGGGGGAGGACATAAAATAGTGAGCTAGCGAGCCCAATGAGTGGATAACACATTTTATATTAAAAGCCACACAACACCAATCCATCACACGATATAACATCAATCACCATATAATATTTCCAGATGCCATGGAATCACATACCAAATCATATAAAACAAATTAATCATCACCACTATACCAATAATCAAGGACCTAAGTCATAGCTCTCACGAGTCTATCCCAACATAGACATGTAGTTACACCACCCACAGTCTAACCTCGGGATGGTACCACCCATGGTCTACCCTCAAGGTGCATCATCCACAATCTATCCTTGGGATAGTATAATCATCACTAGATAACCATAATCGACCCACAGTCTACCCTCAGAGTGTAATGATATGATATCAAAATGGAATCCCATCCATGGTTTACCCTCGAGGCGTCAAAATCCCACACCGGCCAATACCCGCCTGGTGTAATCCCACATAGAACTCATTAGGTGTCTATCCTGTCTCGTTAGGATATCGTAATCGTTCGATAAGATAGACCAGCTCAATGCGCTCATGAACCTAAATATAATCTGTTGGTTGATGACTGGAGGGGAAGAGTAATATAAAAGGTGGTCTCAATCCGAAGGATGCATCCACAAACACATCGCATCCAAATATCGAAACACATAATGAATTATTTAGGCCTTCATGCATATACATATAAGTAATAATATCATATAATACTTGTTTTCGTTCAAACCGACATGCAAAATCCGAGTGCAATGGTTGAAACATCATTATAAATCATCATGTAAAATATCCATTTACCACTTATATTTTTCATTCTCCGTTTAGTCCCAAACATTTTATATTTTGTCAACTCCCTAAACTTTTGATATTTGCGGTAAACCTCGTATACTTTTAAATCCTTGTCAACTTCCTAAACATTTAAATCGTTACAGACAACCCCCAAAATTATAACTTCCAAACATGACAGTGTTGTGTACGTGTCTGGACGTGGATCTCTCATAAGGCAATTTATGGATGAGCTAGAGATTAGCTGAAAGTCAATAAGGATTGTTTATTTAGAATGAACTTAAATATATGTCTTTAGGATATTAGGTAGAGTAGCTCCTTACTCCTATTTCTTTTCTTTTAGCAACTACTAGGAGCATGTGGCTGGTTAGTAGGAGTTTGTTTTACGTCTACTTATTTAAAGCTTGTCAAGTCAATAAAGCAGGGAGGAAAAACTCTAGTCATTTCTTTTTCTTGGAGTCTGGCTGATTCTAATTAGCCATTGTTTATTTTCTTTTATTGCATAAAAACTGTTCATATTAGACAAACCCCTTATTCCAGAATGCATAATAAACTAGTAAACTCCAATAATAAATAAATTTAAACATTCCAATTTCCAGCAAGAACATTCTGAAGCATATAACCTTCAAATACCCAAAATGCATGCCTATATTTCTTTCCAAAACACACATAATATCTTCATAACCCAGGCAACTCATATACCCAACAAGCAGCCAGCATACACCACAACAATATGGGTTGTGAATGGGTTTACTATTCCACTCACCTCTCTGCTCAATCGAAGCTCCCTGCACTCTCCTCCACTCTTCTCTTCTGATCCTAGCATCAAGAACAACAATGGTTAGTTTTTCTCTTGGATTGAATAAGAAATGAGAGATCTACCTCCCAAGTTGCATGCATGAATACCAGAACTTGGGTTACAACCGGTTTACTCTTCTTTTCTCCTCTCCAACTCTATTTCATTTCATCTCCTCAATTCTCTCTCATTCGACCATTTTCGGCCGAACTCATTCTCCGCATCTCCTCCATTTTCAGCCGACCCGGGCTGCATGAACAATATATTTAATTTTTTCCTCGAAATTTAGTTGCACCCATCCTCTTGAGCTCTAACATTTGCAAAAACCAAAAATTGTACGTAAATAATAATAAATGAACTCTCTCATTTGCCTTTAACCACAAATGAACATTTCATAAAGCACTTAGAACCTCTGCGAAAAGAGAAGTGGTTTTCTGTTGTAAAGATGGACTATCGATCATATTATTGTTTCTAAACTCAATATGCTTTACATCGAAAGATGAATAAACTAGTATTCAAAAGATATTTAAGGGTACAAGCAAAATATAAAGAAAAAGTCTCGTAATTTTACAGAGAATGAAAACTTTGTAAATACTTTATTGTGTGAAACGAAATGATACACGTCTATTGAGAAAGTGACAACATCAATGGACTATCTAGAAAAGGTTAAACTATTCTCTGAGAAAGTAGTTAATTCACTGTGAACAAAATTAATCTCTTCAATATTGATATGGCGCATACTTGAACAGCATCTTGAAGCTCTCATGATCCCAACCAATTCAATTGCTACCTCTCTCATTGTAGGCCTATTTTTCCCATTTAAGTCCAGACATTTTCTTGCAAGACTGGCAATTGTTGCGATCTCTTCTTTTTTACCTTCTTTCATAACTCGAGCATCAAGGATTTCAAATAGACAATTCTCTTTCATGGCACGTAAAAAATATGCGGCAAGACTTTTATCTTCCTCAATATCAATTGAACGAATTGACTTTTGTCTAGTTAAAAGTTCTATAAGAACTATTCCAAAACTATAAACATCACTTTTCTCAGTAAATTGACTTAATCAGAAATACTCAGGATCAAGGTACCCAAAGGGCCCTTTTACTTGAGTGGTCAAACGAGTTTGATCAACTACAATAGATCTTGAAATTCCAAAATCCGACAATTTTACTTGAAATTTTTCATCTAAAAGTATGTTTTTGGACTTAATATCTCGATGATATATAGGTACGGAAGCAGCTGAATGCAAATAGGTTAGCACACTCGAAACTTCAAAGGCAATTAGTAATCGTAGTTCCCATGTGAATGGAAACTCCTCATTTTGGTCATGTAAATATTGAAAGAGATATCCATTAGAAACGAACTCATAGACTAAAAGAGGCACTTCTGTTTCCAAGCAACACCCTACTAGTTGAACTACATTTCTGTGACTAATTTGTGATAGTAATATAACCTCATTAATGAATTCTTCAATTTTACTTTCATCCGCTATCTTGAACTTTTTAATAGCTACAATTCTTCCTTCCAACAACATCCTTTTATACCCAGTGCCTTGACCACCTTCACCAAGAACTCGATTGCCATGATAATTGTCCGTGGCTTTTTCCAATTCCTTCGAGGTAAACAATTTTATCTTCTTAATGTTCCCACCATTTCTTGTAAATAACTTCTGCTTCATTTTGATTGCTTTCCGTTTTTGTATGAACTTGTTACAATGATAAGTAACACCATTCCAAGCCCAGCACTGAAACCTGCACAATTCAAGGACAAGAAATACATCATAAATATTCGCGAGTTTTGCGTCAACGGTACTAAACAACTGTAAAGTATGTTGAAACAGATACCTATACTGATTAAGTATTTGACTGGACTTTTTTTAATAAATATATCATCAGAACTTCGTGAAGGAGAGCACCATGTTTCTTCATCTTCACTTTGATAAGGTTCATAACCATAAGTACATTCGGAGCAATCGCTATTGTTCTTCCAAACACAAAGCAAGCCACCTACACAAAGTTGAAAAAAAAAAAAAAGTTACAAGTAAATGACAATGGCTATAAACGTAATTAATAAACGTCCATCTTCAGGGGCCTGGAACAACAAAGGATGCATCTCAAGATCTGACTCAGCACCTCTTTCGTCCTTAACAACATGAGATTCTTCTAGGTGCATATTTCTGACATTTTCTTTCACTGAATTATTTTTATCTCTTCCAATTTTTATTAAATGCGGAGTTCCCAACCTTACAAGATGAGATATTAGAGGAGCTGTACTTTTTTGTTCAGAACAGCCAACACCACTGCCAGTGAAAGAAACATTAGCAGATGATCCACATTGGACGCTTTTGAGAGCTGATTGCGAAATTATACGAACAGACGGTGGGAGATTCATAAGAGGAAAGTCTGGTGAGTGTGCCTTGTTACGTCTGCAAGCCCTGTGTTGAAATGGAAGCCTGAAACAGTGTCGTTTTGGGTAAAGAAGTACGACATCGTTTTAGACAACAACCAAATAAATCCAGACCGTAGGATAACTTTCAGATCCAATTGCCATAATCAATCACTTAGTCAACCATATATAAACTCACTTTTCGCAGAAACAATAGAACACTATTGGGTTTTTTCCTTTCATGCGATTTCTGAGTTAGGGTTGTTAGGTCCTTGTTATTGTTTGTGTAATCAGGTTTGAGTGGTTAGGGATTATAATCATTCGAGTGAGAGTGATGTTCTCACGGGTTAGGGATTCTCATTGGGTATCTCGTTAGGCTGATTGTAGTTTAAATTGTATTGATTTGGGTGATTGTAGGAAGTGTTGTAATCTTGATTCTTTGTGGTAATAGTAAGTGCAGCAAACTCATACCTTTCCTGAGCTGAACGTGGATGTAGCTTATCCATAAAATGATAAGTGAACCATGGTAATCCCTGTGTTGTCTTGGTATTCTTGTTTGATTGATTGTGTTTTAGATCTGTGATTGTGTTTGGTTGCGTAACAGTGGTATCAGAGCCATTTCTTGGAGTCCAAATTTGGTGATTATCGAGTTGTTGTCTCGATAGAAGAGACTTTGCGAAATTAGGGTTTTGCGAAATTAGGGTTTTGTGAGATTAGGGTTTCGGGGAATTTGGGGTTTTTGGAATCATTAATTCCTTTAAGTCTCTGAATAGATCTAAGGAGTCAAATCTTGACGAATCTTGGGAAAATAATAAGATCACAGAAATCGCAAAAAGGTCAGGGCAAGAGGAACTAGGATTTACAGTTCGGGGCTTTTACAAAACAAATAAAAAATGACCACAAACACCACCACACCACTAGTAATAAACCAATACGATGGGAAGATCGATTTCGGAAGCTAGAAGAATATGATGAAAGTTCTTCTCTCACACAACAAGGTTGCAATCGCACTGGAAAAGGATCCCAATAAATGGTCAGAGGAAAGACTGAAGAAGAAGGAAGAGATTGATGAAGAAGCATACAACTTGATCGTGATGAATCTCTCAGACAATGTACTTCGGAAGGTAGATGGATTCGAAACTCCACTTAGTTTATGGGGTAAGTTAGAATCTTTATATGTCTTACAGTCTGCACCGAATCTGACTTTCTTAAAGGGAGCCTTATGCTCATATGAAATGGATAATTCAAAGTCTATTGAGGAAAATTTAGATGAATTTCTTAAGATGAATCTAATTTAAAAGGCACAGACCTAGAACTAGGAGAGACAAGTCTTGCCATGATACTGCTAAACTCCTTAACAGATGACTACCGAGTAGTCAAGAATGCTCTTCAGTATTCTGGTACTATACCATGTGTTGATTTGATAGTTGTTGGGCTTAAGGCTAGGGAATTAGAGCTTAAAACCCTTAAGAGGAACAACAACACTATGTTTGTGAAGGGAAGATTAAAACCTAGTCAACCTAGTCAATCTAGTCAATCTAGTAAAGGATTCTAGCCTAGTCAGGGGGGTAAGAATAAGAAGAAATGGAAAGGAAGCAATAAAGCCAAAACTGAAACTAGGAAGTGTTACTACTACAACAAGACAGGCCATCTAAAGAAAAACTGTTTTGACTGGAAGAATAAACAGAAGCTAGGAAATACAGAGAACAACCTGGCCACTACTAGTAACCAAACAGATGAACCAGAATCCTAATAGTGTCAATATTTGACACTACAAAGGAATGGGTTTTAGATTCAGGTTGTACCTTCCATATGAGCCCTAATAAGAGTTGGTTCCAAGACTTTGAGAATTCTAAACATGAGACTATGTACATGGGGAACAACTAAGCATGTAGGGTTAAGGGAATAGGCTGCATAACCCTTAGATTAAGTGGGGGAAAACTAATCAAGTTAACCAAAGCGAGGTATATCACTAACTGAAAAAGAAACCTTGTCTCCCTAGGCACCTTGGATGAAGCAGGCTACTGCTGTAAGGCTAATAGTGGCTGGTTAAATGTCTATAAGAATGAAAAACTTGTCTTGACAGGACAAAAGAAAAATGGTCTCTATATACTGTGTGGTCGTTTCTACTGTGATTGTAACAGTACAACTCTTGGTTCTCAAAACTTATCTGTAACTAAAAAGTGGCACTTGAGGTTAGGTCATATGAGTCAAAAGGGAATGGATATCCAAAATAGGCAAGGACAGTTTGGGAAAGATACTATCACTAGCTTAGAATTCTGTGAAAATTGTGTACTTGGTAAACAACATAGGAACAGTTTTCCTAAGGGAGTTCATCTAGCAAACAACTATCTGGATTACTTACATCCTGATTTATGGGGGCCAGAAAAGGTTAAATCTCATGGTGGAAGTAGTTATTTTCTCTCAATCGTAGATGACTACAATAGGAAGGTCTGGGTATTCTTACTTAGGTCAAAAGATCAAGCTTTTGCAAAGTTTAGAGACTAGAAAACTTTAGTTGAAAACCAGTCTAGTAGAAAGGTCAAAGTCCTTAGGACTGACAATGGGCTTAAGTCCTGTAACCTGGAGTTTAACAAGTTCTGTAGTGAACAGGGGATCTTGAGGCATAGGACAGTCAGAAATACCCCTTAGCAAAACAGGGTTGCTGAGAGAATGAATAGGACACTCCTAAATAAAACTAGGTGTTTACTAATCACATCAAACCTCTCAAAAACATTATGGGGAGAAGCCCTCTCCATAGCTGCCAACTTAGTGAATAAGAGTCCCTCTACAACCATAGGACTAACCTTTCCAGAAGAGAGATGGTCTGGAAGAAGGCCAGAACTAGGGCATCTAAAAGTATTTAGCTGTGCAGCTTATGCACACACAGTGGAGGGCAAACTAGAACCAAGATCCACTAGGTGTGTGTTCCTTGGATATCCAGAGGGCGCAAAAGGGTATAGATTGTGGGATAGAGAGTCACCAGGGGTCATAATCATAGTAAGCAGGGATGTTGTGTTTAATGACAGAGTATTCCCATGTAAAGGAACTAACCCTGATGCAGGCACCACCAAAAGCACAGAAACAGCCACTAGTCAGACCAGTGCTACTCAGATTGAGGTGAAGCCCACAACCCAACAATTAAACCCACCTCAAGCACAAGCACAAGCACCCCAGTAGCCTAGAATTGAAACAACACTTGAGGAACCTGATCAAGATGCAGATGAAGAAATTGAAGAGTTCCTGGAACCACAACAACATGAACTGACAAATTATCAGTTGGCCAGAGACAGAACAAGGAGAGAGGTAAGACTACCCTCAAGATACTCATACGTAGAACTAATTTACACTACTCTTCTTGCAGGTACTGAGGTGCTGAGGTCTGAACCTGATACATATCAAGAGGCCATGGAATCTAGAGATAGGGACAAATGGAGAACATCTATGGAGGAGGAAATACAGTCTTTAAAGGTAAATGAAACATGGTCAGTGGTTCCAAAACAAAGAAACCAGAAGCTAACCCAATGTAAGTGGCTTTTCAAACTTAAAGATGGCATTTCCATAGCTGACCCACCTAGGTATAAAGCTAGACTTGTGGCTAAGGGGTATACCCAAAGGGAGGGGATAGACTTCAATGAAGTCTTCTCCCCTATGGTAAAATACAAAACAATTAGGATGATGTTGTCAGTATTTGAATAACAAGACCTGGAACTAGAGCAGTTGGATGTCAACACTGCATTTCTTCATGGAAACCTAGAGGAAAAAATCTATATGAGCCAACCTATGGGGTTTATTGACCCTGAGTTCCCAGACCATGCATGCCTCCTTAAAAAGTCTTTATATGAGTTAAAACAGTCCCCTAAGCAGTGGTACAAAAGGTTTGACACCTTTATAATAGGCATTGGATTCTCTAGAAGTCAATATGACAATTGTTTCTACTTTAAAATGAACAATAATCTGCCTATTTACTTACTGTTATATGTTGATGATATATTGTTAATTAGGAAGTCAAAAGCCCAGATTAGTGAATTAAAGAAGGAGTTAAATACTGAATTCAGTATGAAAAACCTAGGGAATGCCAAGAAAATTCTAGGCATGGAAATAAATAGGGATGGGAGGAGATGTGAACTTAGGCTGCAGCAACAATCTTATTTACTGAAACTAGTCACAAAGTTTGGCATGGCTGGTGCCAAGCTGGTCTCAATGCCCTTAACCAGTCAGTTTATACTTAGTAAGTCCCAATGCCCCAAAACTGAGTCAGAATTGTTGAGAATGGAGTCTGTCCCATATGCT